AGTTTGATCAAGAAATGAAGCTAGGTCGGGAGGAACAGCTCGAGCTAAACCTTTCTTCTTTCGTTTCGACGGCTTGGCGACCGTCACGCCCATCGGTACGGGCAGGTACTTCTCCCTTAGCTCGTACGTGGGAGGCGGGAGCTTGGCGGCTGCGAGACTCTCGGCTGTCCGGAAGATGGAATACTCGTGTATTTCACTCGAGATCCGAGTGACCGTCTCCTTGAGTGCCTGAGTCACGCCCGGCACCACTTGCTTTCTGAAGTGGCTGCTCCAAGTGCGGTCGACCGGGAGGATCCAGGGGTCGTATTTGATGGAGAAAATTCGATTCTTCCACCCCTTGTTGTTCCCGGGCAGGCCTTTGATGGCGCACATATCTGCTCGGGATTGCAGCATCAGGAACCCGCCCCGTAGCGGCCCGGGAGAACCTTGATCTGGTAGATGAAATTGAACAGCTCCATCGTGCACTCGGCCTCGTGCCGAGTGCATATCTGCGGGAAGCAGGCGAGGATCCGATGTGCGTTCGGGCAGATCTGAGCCGGAACGACCCGATAGTATGCTAGAAAGGCCGTCAAGAGGGCCGGGAAGGGAATGGCAATCGGGGTCATTAGGGAGTCGTAATGCATCCCGATCCACTTGCCCCGATGCCTGTCAATTACATTCCCCAGCTGCCGGCTCGTGTCGAACTCTACCCGACCCTGGAGTACTTCAGCAATCCGAGCCGCTTCGCCTTTGGTCAGCAGGCTCATTTCTTGCTCGACACTCTCGCTGTTCAAGAATTCGAGCTCGACTGCTGGTGTGGCCGGCCCGGCCGGGTCTTCTTCGGTCTGCTCGGGGGTATTTTCCCGATCACCCCCTCGAGGAGCAGCTTCCGGGTAGTCCCCAACCACCCGGGTAGGCGTTTCCCTAACGCCTACGGTCGGAGAACCCCGCCCATTTGACGTGGTTCTCTCTTCCTCTTCTTCGCTGGAGCTCCCCGATCCGCTGGAGCTAGAGCTCGACGTCCCGGAAGAGCTTGATGCGTTGTTATGCTCGACGGCTCGCTCAGGGGTTGACGTTGCTCGGGGGCTGGCTTCGGGAGTGTAGGACATAATGTCCACGTTCTCGCCGCTGATGTGCTCGACCTCCTCGTCATAATCCGCGATCGAGGCGTTTTGACTGTCAGAATCCGTCATTTCGCTCTACCTAAAGGTCGGTCGGGGTTAGTAAAGGACTTGAGTCGTCCGGGACAGTTAGTTGACCTAGCAGTTCTACCTATAATTGAAAGCGTGAAGTAAAGAGAAGGAGGGAGAGCTTACCGGATGAAGGAACTTTGCGAGAGAGAGCTTGAAATTTGTTTGCTCGATCGCCTTGCTGAGATGCTCTGCTCGGGATTCTTAGAGGATACCGACTGAAGCAAAAGAGTGAGGAAAGTTCAAATGAGGGCCTCAAGGGCCTATTTATAGGAGGGTATTTAGGCGGGAAATGGGCCAACTTGCCTGACACGACCCGCGCTGAATCCGAGGCGACGGATGGGATCGCCGAGGCCGGCAGAGGCCGACACGTGGCGTAGGAGGGAATGACAGCTGGCAGGTCGGCTCGGTGGCTGACGGTTGGGCTTCTTCATCCCGTCCCGTTTTTTCCCGGACGATCAAAAAGGCCCGGGCTGGGGGGCTCTTGGTAGGGAATATCCCGACCGACATAGCTTCACCACGATCGAGGAGCCTTTGTCTCTTTCTCCTTGTCTTTGCAGGTAACAGGTCGGGCTCCACGAGAAGAACCCGGTCGTAGACCGACCGGGAGTTGCCCGAGCGACGGTGTCGACCACCGAGCGGTAGCCCCTTGGTGAAAGAGTTGACGAAGGACACGTGGCGGCTCTTTACATCGACAGGCAGGGCACCCGGGAGGATGACACGTGGTAGGCTACGTGGAGGACATGCCGAACGGCTGGAATCCTGTCCCCGGCATAGCGGCTATAAATACCCACAGTAGCTACAGTGTAAGGGACTTTTGGACGATCGATAGGTTGTTGTTAGAGAATCCCGACCGCACTCAGTCGGTACTCAGGGCAACCAAGTAGATTATACTTAGGGCCTTTACCGTGATCAATAAAGATTTTACTTGCTTTAATTGGTCTCGTGTTATTTTATATTGCTTACATATAATTAGCAGTATCAGTTATCTAGAATCTAACAACTGTACCAACTAATCTATAATCGAGCTTAAGAGCTTAACTAGTTACCTTGATTAAAGACTCCCGAGGAATCGCCTGGTGGCATGTAGCTTGGATCCCAACCATAGGGAGTCCATCTCTGCACATTCTCAATCCCCATCCTTTGCTCTATGACTGCAGCTCTTTGATCAAAGTTGCAAAACCATAGTTCACTTGAGCACTCAGGTTGTCGAAACGGATGTTCATCATAGCGTAAAGATCCTCATAAGTAGGTCCTTGAGGCCCACTCATGTATCCCTGCGGTGCTCCCTGCTGGGTAGCTGTATATGGAGCTCCTTTATGGCTCATGCCAGTTCCCATATTGGTTCCCATTGCAACCCCTTCTCCACTAGCCTCGGCTGTGTCCTGATTTAATCCCAACACTCGACCACTTCATTGTGGTACGTTCAAACTAACCACAAGTACCATCTTCTCTTCCAAAGGCTTCTTAGCAATATCAGCTAGAGTTAAGTATTTGTTCTCCTCAACTTGGTACAACTCGTAATATCTCAAATTGACGGCATTCAGGGCCGACCTAGTAGTCCTTTGGATTCTTTCTCCCATCTCAGGTAAATTCATCTTTTTGAATACCCAACTCAACATCATGCCATAGGGCAGATTCTTCCTGTTCTTAGCCTTAAAGTAAGCCATATGTTTAAGAATCAAGACTGGAAAGTTTATAGCACGACCGAATCTCAACATAAAGGCAATTGTACATGTCCAACTACCAATCTCTGTAGAGTTGTTCCTACACGGGAACAAGCACTCTTCTATAAGCAACACTAGCAATTTCTTTTCTCCCGTCAAAGTGGGTTTCTCGGGACGATATTCCTTAGGGAACTCTTCCCTACTCCCGGTCATGTATCTCAAGTACTATTGATGTGTTAACCCTGCGTGGGCAACCCAATCATCTCTATCATACGTATCCAACCATCCATCGGTAAGTCAAACCAATTTGACAATTTCTGCGGTGTCAATTCTACTTTCGTGCCTCTCACATTAGAGACAACTGAAGTCACTCCCTTCTTATGTTTTGTAGACAAATTCTCATAGAATTCAATTACTAAATCAGGGTAAATTTCCTCTTGGATTCTCAAAAATTTCCTCAACAAACCTCTATTTTCCAAAATACTATTAAAATCTTCAGAAAAGAATTCGGGGAAATAGGTTTTACCTCCTATTACTGAGTAGGTAGGTGCTTCCTGACTAGTTCCCTCAACTTGTTGCTTCCCTTTCACCATTTTGATCCAAGCTTTGTGGTTTTGATCTCGTTGAATAAGCAAGGAATGCTCCAACTAGTATTTTTTTATAACTTGGTATGACTTGGGGAAGACTCTCTTGAAGTTTCCTTGTTGAATGATGTTGTTTTGGAGAAGATAGGTTTTTGGTTGAGGTTGAGGCAGTGTGTATCGAAGGAAAGAAGAAGATGATGATGTTGTAGTTTGCTCTCTCGACTTTGGAACAGAAGCAGAAGGGTTTAAGGGGGGTGGGGCTTGGCAGCGGCCCTTCACGAGCTCCGGCCCCAAGGCCCGTGTCAGGCCATCCTCGAAACGGCCTCAGGTCATAGACCATTACGTGGTCCGTGACCACGTTCCGTTACATAGAACGGGGTCTGTCTAGGCCCGTGACCTAGACCCACTACTGGGTCGGGTTAACCGGGTCGGATCCGGTTCGATCCTAAACCAAAATCGGTCCTCCGACTTTGTCAAAACTCCAAATCGAGTCAAAATTGAGTGTAGTCCTCCACTTTTGGACATCACCCTTCTTTTACTCAATTCTTTAACTTCTCGATTCTTCTTCCAGAATTGTTCGAGCCAACAAAACTCGGAACGAATCCTCGTCTAATTCTTTCTCAATGAAGATAGATGATTTCCATACCCACTATACTTGGGCATAACGTTACTTCTAGAATTACTTCTTTTAACTCTAATCGTTCCCTAACGATCTTTCATTCTTACTCATATCTCCTTCATTTCTTCTAATTCTCTTGTTCACTATTTCATAGCATTCCAAGCTAAGTTTTTCTCTAAAGCAAACTCGACTAGTTTTTGACTTTCCAAAACTCACAGATTAACACATCTTTTGCACTTTGCAACAACTTATAACAGTTTCTCAAACTTGCATCTCTATCTAAGTATCCAAGCAAAAGTAATACACTCATTCCAAGTTAGAGTGTTACCTTTCTCGAGCTTGAGGTCTCCAGCCTGAGTCTTTCCCATGACTATGATCCTTCCTGGTCCAGCTTCTACGGCGCATCCCTTTTGTGCTTCGCCTCGTCTCTGACTCCCATTACTGTGTGGACCTCCTCTCGGCGGGTAGCCGCGTCCCATAGCTTGACTTGGCGCTGGGTTGACCGGACCACTAGGCGGCTGGCTCGGGTTCGCACCATGGGGTCCCTCCGTTCTCGGAGAACGACAAATTGTGGCTCTATGACCCGACTTTCCATACCGGAAGCAAACTATAGGCGATCCTCCACAAGTGGTCTTAGGATGATCCTTGCCACATCTAGGGCATACTGATGTCCTTTCCCTCGGTGATCCTCCACTTCCAGCTCCCTGTCTCATCGTCATGCTCATCCTTCCTCCACTTCTATTGTCAAACCTACTCGTCGGATTAAACCTATGTCCCTTGCTCGATTGTGATTCCATCCCCTCGCTCTTTTTCTTCATTCCTTGCATGGCATCTCGGTGCAACTGTTGAATCCTGGAGTAACCAGCAGCTGCCTCATAAGCATCGTTCAATGTAGCAAACCTCGCCACATAAAAAAAATTTCTGAGCATCATAGTGTAATCCTCGAATGAACTTGCGAGCCTTACTTGCCTCCCTCAGGTACCAAAGTAGGAGCAAATCGAGACAGTGCCACAAAGCGGGCATGATACTCCTGAACGGTTAGACTCCCTTGCTCGAGGTGTAGAAACTCTTCATACTTGGCAGCCTTGACGTGCTCTGGGTAGAATCTTTCTCTCAACACCATCTTGAACATTTCCCAGTCAAACCCTTCTCTTGCCTGTATGGCCGGTCCTTCCATAACCCACCAGTGGTCAGCCTCTCCCTGTAGGTAGTAAACAACAGCCTCTACTCGCTGGTTCTCTAGGCATAGTACCACGTCAAACAACTTGTCGAACGTGCGGATCCAACTCTCAAGAACTTCCGGATCCTCCTGACCCAGGAAACACGGTGGATTACGTCTCGTGATCTTTCTGGATACATCCCTGCCTCCGTTATTCTTATTGAGTATGGCAGCTCCTATGGTCTGAGTCAACTGAGTGAGCTGGCGTAGACTCTCCGTCAAATCCGTGGATGACGACATTCCAGGTCCTGAGGAGCGAGGTGATTCTTCTCTAACTCTTCGTCGCGGCATCGCGAAACTCTTTGAACATGATCAGAACAGATCATTCTCGTTAGCACGACTACAAGTTAGCTGATTCTAACTTCTTAAGCTTAAGATAAACTTGCAACAAGTAAATGATACTAAGCAACAAAGGCATCTCTCCTACTTTAACAACTTAGCAAGCACAACTTCTCTTCTAAGCTCAAACTTTCAAACTCTTGGTTTTTCTCTTTCAACTACTCTCTTTACTTCTCTACTTTACTCAAAACAGATATCAAAGGCATAACAAGCACATTGGTAAATCATATAAACAAGGCATAAGTATAAACTCGTATACTTTCACATTAGCACTTTACAAAGCTTTCACTTTCAAACTTTAACTTTCACAATCTCAACTTTCAACCTTCACTTAGGCTTCTTTACTAAAAAACTTCTCTATTTCACTTTCAAAAGATAGGAATAAGTACTTTAAACACATTGATAAAGCACAAACATATAAGCAAACACAAAGGAAATCATGATCTCTCCGCGTTCCTAACTGACACTTGAGATTCTCTTAACTCTGATTCTCATATTTGGTCACTGGACTTAGAGTCCTTCTCATCTCAGTCTTCATATCTTAGGGTTCCTCCCTTAATCTTATCCTTCTTAGGATTTCACTTAGAGTTCTCATCATAACTTGTCTTTCTTGAGACTTCAACTTAAAGGTCTTTCCTCAACTTGTCCTTCCAAGGACTTTCACTTAGAGTTTCTATACTCAATCTTAAGGGTCAAACTTCCTAAGCTTTCCCGTGGTTCATACCGCTCTGATACCAATTTGTAACACCCCACTTTTCTAACTCTTAATTATCTCTCTAAAAAGACTTTAACATAATTTAAGCAGCGGAAAACTAGATAAAAGTAGTGAGGTGTCACTGCCACAACCACCACTCTTGGTGATTGCACAGGCTAAAAGGGGTAAAACTATAACATACGATTAAGTCTGGGTACTAAAGTAAATACCGAAAAGTAAGGGGGAAATACGTCACCCCAAAACAGTCTACAAACATCATCATAAAGTATAGGGTCATAAGTCTTAATCCATAAAGACATCATAAATATAACTAGAGTTTAAAAAGCTCAAACTAAGAGACTAATCTAACTCGATCTTCTCTCATTGCTGGGTCCACCTGAAAGGGGTTTTGCAAGCAACACATAGACAAACAGGAAAGCACCCGTTAACACGAAGCTAAGTATAACCACACTCAACCCTGTAAAGCATTCTAGCATGTACTTGGAAAACATTTTATATCATTAGATCAATAAATTAATCTCAAATCCTCTTTAGATTATCGTATTCTTTCTAGATGCTTGCACCTTATAATAACAACTGACATGCTTATATATGTATAAGACTAATCATGTATATTCATCAACATGTAGACTTCTCAAATAGCTTATCAAGAAATTCATGCTTACAGATAGGATCATGTTTAAAGATCATATAACAGGTGTTCACATGCGATCATGCTCTTATCACATAACTTATTAAGTAGAACATCTATTACATCAAAATAATCGTGCTCAACAGAATATCTCCAGTTAGTTTTCTCATTAAACAATCTTTTGCGATACTCCATTCGCATACAATCATGTATAACACTATGATCATGCATCTCACGCAATCTAGTGCAACAATATAGTCATACTCTTATGAAATCTAGTGCAACAATATACTCATGCTCTTATGCAATCTCGTGCAAAAATATACTCATGCTCTTATGCAATCTCGTGCAACAATACACTCATGCTCTTATGCAATCTCGTGCAACAACATAATCATACTCTTATGCAATCTGGCGCAACAATATAATCATACTCTTATGCAATCTAGTGCAACAATATACTCATATTCTTATGCAATCTCATGAAACAATATACTCATATTCTTATGCAATCTAGTGCAGCAATATAATCATACACTCATATATAAAATAGAGTACTTTCTATGGAAGGTTTCTTTGTTACTTTCTCGAGTCTCTCTTGATTCTCTTTCTTTCTACCGAGTCTCCCGAGAGGAACATAATCCAAACAGTATCCTCCAAAACCTCACCGATATAAATATTACATAAATATATCTCTCATGCATGCAACAATTCTACTACTTCTCAATGCATCAAAGAATGGCATACCACATGTGTATGGTTTTTGAAAGTATTCTTGGACTCACGTTGGCCCTTTATGCATTTTTGAAATATGACTCATGTGAAATGTCAAATGCTCTATATCATGCTTCTAAATCATGTATACATTAACATGAATTATTCAAGGATATATCATCATGCTCGGTTTGTAAAAATAGCAATTTCTATACATTTCGCTCAACAAGTATGCTTCTATTTTCATGGATCAAATAATACATTTTAATCATGCTTTCATAATAAATCCTATTATCAAAGGATCATGCTTCTTTACTCAATCAGAACGTGATTTGATCACAAAATCATCAATTTCTCAAACACAGAGAACTTAGCAAAATATACTTTATGAAACATTTCTTCACAAAATCATTCATAGGATACTCGTTTTTAATCCAAATTCAGCCAAATCAAAGCCAAGACGTGCGTCAAGACGATCCCGAAGAGCCGAGCCACAAGGGCCCGTAACACTCGGTCCGAAATGACACGTCGCTGAGCCACAAGGGCCCGGCCACTGCACAACATCTCATCAGAACCATACTCAGGGACTTGGGGCGGGACTCTTCATGGTTCGCCCCTATAGTCCCGTTACTACGCCGGGACTAGGCTACGACCCTCTTCTAGGGCCGTGCCCTAGTCTCTTGGTGGCACGGCTCTAGGCGGCGGCCCTTCTGATGGGCCGCGGCTAGGGCCGCCACTCTGGTCTGGTGCACACTGTGTTGTGCACCAGATAGCCTTTCACCTGCAAAAACTTGTCCAAACATGTCCAAAACAATCTCAACAACTCATAAACACATACCAAAGCATTTCCAAGCATAAACACATCAAAAGCTCATAATTTCTACTCAAAACTAGGCTTCACAGAGCCAAAAATAAAGAGGAACCCATGGGGTTATACCTCTTGTAGACTAGATCTCTTGCTTGGATCTCTTCTTCCTCTTGATCTAGCTTGAGCCTCCTTCACCACCTACACTTCCCAACACACCTTCTATCCTTAGCCTATATTCTTAAAGACTAAAGAAAACTAGAAGAGAAATGATGCTAGAAAGGAGGATGAACAAGCTTACTAGGTTGAAGCTTTTCTTCTTGGATGTTGGCTGACAAATGTGAGGAAGAGGCAATATAATGAAAATGAGATCAGGAAAATGTGATGGAATAAAGGGTTTATATAAGGTTCAAAACCCTAGGATGATACACAATGATTGGTTGAGGGCAAAGGGGTAATTTCCCCAAGCTAAAAGATGACTTTATAAGGGATTTTTGGATGTCTTGTGGTCTACTATGCATCATGAACCATAGACTAAAAATGATATTTCTTTATTACTTTGAGGTGGAAAGTGAATTTTCCCAAAATTCCCTTTTTAATTCTCCCGGTCTCACTCGGTAAAATTCTCGATTTAAATCTTGGTACGCAAAGTATCCGGAAACTTTGGAATTTTCGAATGAAATTCATTTCTTTGGTGTTGATTTAACTTTAAAATGGAACAAAAATTATTTTATTCAAACACCGATTGCTTGCAAAAAAATTTAATGGAGTGAAAAAACTACTTTCGGATTTCTTAACACTAGATTTATAAAATGAAATTTTGGATTGTTACAATGACAGTCTTTGTTTTTTCATTTTTTGCGTTTCTATCGGCGTTCTTCTACGCTCGGGAAAAGTGTCGGACCATCTGCTCGGGACGTGACGATTTGTTAGTGCTCGATTTCAGAATATCAGAAAGCAACCGAACGGAGCTCTCAAATATATGCTCGGGAACCATATGCTTATCAATTGATCGGGGGAGATCAGGGAGTCGTTAGATTTGATGGCACCTCATAGTGGAGCACGGTGGTGGTCGAGATGGTCTATGTGGCCGTTAGGATTGTCACTGGGTTAAGGAAATTACTTTTTTGATGGTCATTTCCAATGCCCAGATTCGTCTGCATGCATGCGCTGGGAGCTGATGAAACAACATGAACCAGGTTCAGATCATAAGCTTGAGGACTACAAGGACGCAACCTTCTTGTTCGAGAATGGCACGAAACTGAACTGACCACTAGATCGGGAAAGGTAAAGGTTGATGAAGAGCTTGGAGACATCAACGCATTTCTTAGAGCTAGCGAAAAGACTCATAACGTCTTCCTTCATACTTTGAATGGTTCTGACGACCGCCCTGGTGATCTTTACGTGATCCCCGATCATGTGGACTTGGTCCCCTGGTGCTCGGAGAATGACTCGCTGCCTTATATGTCCGGGGAGGTCGGGGATCGAGTCGGTTGCCGACTACATGATCACACACGCCCTCTACCCGGTCTAGAACCTGGTCAAACTGGTCGGTTCTCACTCAATCATACTCACCGCCTATTTGATCGGGGAATTCAGAGGTCGGGAAATTCGCTCAAACAATACTCGACTGGAGCCTGATTACCAAAACTCCCGCCTTTGATTAACAAAGCTTTACTATGTTAACAAAGCTTCCACTTTCTTGGTTTTCATGCTCCACCGCTACCAAGGGCCAATCACAAAGCACGGAAAATGTAACTTTTTCTTTCCTTTTCCTCTTATATTTCGCACTCCACCGTTGCATGCAACCAATAAAAACACACCACCGCCACATGCACCACACCCTATATCTTTCCTATTACCCCCTTGCCCCCACCTTTTGCCTGGGTTTGCTTCAAGGAACGAGAAGAAATACCCAAGGGTTGATGGTTGTAGGTGACAGGAGGGCCACAACGGTGATGGAAGCGGCGTGCAATCTCTGTATTTGCTTTGAATCAGAAACTGATGCTGTGTAGCACACAGGACTCCTTGTGTTTTTCTTTTTGATTTGTAACTCAATGGGACTTGAGTCTCCTCTGCTTCGTTTCTTTTCTGCATGTGTTGAAGAGGAGTCCATTCGCCATCAATCTTCGCTGATCTGCTGCTGAAGGAGATGATGTTGCAGAAACGGAGGATGATCAGGCAGAAGCAGTTCCTTATTGAATGAGTAGAGTGGTAGAGTGGTTGGGGCATTGGTTTAATAATCTGAGCGTTTAGGTTCAAACCCCACTCCATTTCAAGAATCTTCAGTAATTCCTTGCAATTCCATAATTTCTCCCCATTTTTCTAGAATTTTGTAGCTCTTGCTTGTGGGTTGTGAGCATATACCATTAATGTGCAATCCAACTATTAGCTTAGGCTTTTAGTTGAGATGGAGCACATGCTTCAATTTGGTATCAAAGCCAGACCAAAGGTCGTGGGTTCAAATCTCAACGCCACTCGTAAGCGACTACGGTTTACCGGTCCACGTGTTGCTTGGAACCCACCTCACACGTGAGGGGGCGTGTGAGCATATAGCCATTAATGTGCAATCCAACTATCAGCTTAGGCTTTTAGTTGAGATGGAGCACATGCTTCAATTTGGGTGAAGAATTTTTTGTAGCTCTTTGCTTGTTGGTGAAGACGTAACTCTTTGTTAGACTCTTTGTTAGGTCCCCACAGACGGCGCCATTTGATGGTATTAATTCCTACGTACTGTAAGTATACATGTGTGGATGAAATATAGAATCACTGTAGAATGAATAAAGAAGATGAGATATAGTAAAGGGGTTCTTTTATTCATCTTGTTCTTTTCTTTGTAGAGAGAAGGGGGAGAGGTGTGTGTAGAGAGAGTAATCCGAGAGATTGAATGGAGTCCTCTCTCTCTTAGAGGACCAAAAAGCCCTTTTATAGGCCTAAGGTGGCGGGTTTGACCCGTCACCCTTGACTTTGACCCGTAGATCGGATCCCGAACCGCTCGACCCTGACCTGACTATAAACGAACCCATAGATGTACAAGTGGTCGGTACCGGGGTATATATCCTATCACCCAGGATATTTCTCCATTGAAGACTTGCAGAGCTATTAGACTGCAATTGGTGCGCACCTGGCCTATATGAAGTCCCATAGAGAAAGGGGAGTGATTCCATAAAATCTAGAGAGTGCATGTTTCACGATTAAGAGGTATTTTTTTTCTTTTTCAATTTTGCTTTTTTCTACGACTCCAATGTTTATCATTGCCTAAGATATTTCTCCATTGAAGACTTTCAGAGCTATTAGATGGTGATTGGTGTGCACCTATATAAAGTTCCATAGAGAAAGAGGTGTGATTCCATAAAATCTAGAGAGTGCATATTTCACGATTAAATAGTTTTTTCTTTATTATGTTTTTTTCTAGAACTCGTGTTATATATGAAATTGGAAAAAGGATGCATTACAAAGCTGCTTCCTATACTGCAAAAATAAATTGCAAAATAACACTTTTCATTTTTACTACATTGTAGGGAACTTCATGATCATATACCAAGGGAGCATGTTGGTAAGTACTATAAGCTTTTCAAATAATGAAAAGTTTATGCCATTAAAAATTTTATGGTGATAAGTAATTTTTATATTTACAAAAAATGCACTCATTATTTTATGTTGTAATTCAACTATTCTACTTTGGTTAAAGAATAAAAAAAATGACAACTTTCCTAGACAAATTTATTTATTGAAATCATTTCCATCTTTGAAGTCTGTAGATGATAAACAGTTCGTTGGTAAGTTTTATTTACAATTTTAATCTACATCTGAATTCTCTTTATTTTTTTATTTATTTTTATTTTTTATTAACATGTTTGACGTTATTGGTAGGGTCGTTGAGATGTACTCCCCATTGGATAAGATCATTGCAGGGAAACCTTCTTAACTTATTGATTTTCTAATTGTACGTGGATACAAAGTAAATTATCTAATTTTGTTATTTTATTGCATTTTGTATATATATATTTTTATTAAGTAGTTTATTTGTTTATAGGGACAACCAATTGAAGGCTACAGTGTGAGATCAACATATACCAAGAGTTGAAACCTTTTTTTAAGTCTGGCCTTGCAAATCCTATGGTTGTTCTTATGCAATTGTGTAGAGTTAAAGAATGATACGAGGAGTTAATCTAAACACAAGTGTTTTAATTTTTCTTTATATTTGAAAGTATTTGAATAAGGTTAAGTAATGAATGTTCTTTTTTATTAGCCAGTTATGTCAAGATATGTAACTCTTGATACATAACTCCTTTTCAATCAGGATTTTCAGAGTTTTGTGATTTTTTAGAAAGGTAAATTTATTATGTCTTAATCATTATCATAATATTTTTATCATTTATTTTTGTACATATTTTGTTTATGATTGTCATTTTTTTTGTTTTTGTTTTCAATTTATGTGTTGATTAGACCCCTCTAAGAAACATTATTGATATTTATGAGATGATTGAGGTATACAGTAGTAATAAAACATTTTTTTTAAAAAAAAATTGATGCACTGGAATCAAATTTTCTAATAATCTTTTGCCACTTTTTAAAATGATTTATTAGTATAAATTGCCACACTTTAAAATGTATTTTTTTTAATGTTAATAAATACATTAGCTTAAAATAATACATTAAAATCCAAAGGATAAGCAAAGTATAAAATAAAGTCAAAGTTGTACATGTTTGCAAAGTGATGGAGCATTGTAATAGTCCCAGTGCATCCAAATAAAGACATCATTTAACTGATTATTTGTTTCTTATCTCACATCAAAGGTTGATTATTTGTTTCTTATCTCACATCAAAGGTTCAATACTGTAGGTATATATAAAGTATTAGTAATAACATTGGTAGTGCTAAACGTGTATATAACTAATTATTTATTGATTTAGGATCAAAGAGTGCCATATATGATCTTAGAGCTCAAATTTTGCTTCCAGATATATTATAAATAATCAACCTACATCAGTACTATCTTATCTTCATATGAACAAAACTCATCATCCTTATGTGTGCATGTGTACATACAGAACTATAAACTGCCATTTTTAGATTGAATTCATCTTTTATGCGTAGTTGTATTTTTACCAACTAATTTAATAAAGCTTATTTTGTAAGCAAATGTAAAATGGATATTAACTAAAATCTTGGTAATATTGTATCCATATTTACGTATTAACGTAATAACATAATACCATATAGAAAAGACATATTAGTTATATTCTATAATATAATAATATAATATTTTTGGTAACATTATTGTTTGTAAATTCTCCGTATTTTTTTTACGTATTTATAATACTGTGTAGAAAATACATTAATTAATTAGGTAATAACATAATAGCATAATTGGTAATATTATGTATGGTATTACCGTGTAGAATTTTTGGATTTTATCACCAACTAATTTAATACAACTTATTTTGTAGGCAAATGTAAAATAGAAATTAACTAAAATCTTGGTAATATTATTTCCGTATTCAATGCTCTCACGTACTAGCATAATACCCTAGATAACCAATTTAAACAATTTATAATATAACCAATTTATATATATATATATATATATATATATATATATATATATATATATAGATTTTGAATCCGGTGCACACCCCCTAGTCAGCCGAGTCCGTGAGCACACTCCCTGATCGTTGATTTTAATTTTTTGACGATTCAGATTGATTACCACTTAGATCCCATGTTATACTTATTTTAGATGAAGCATGGGTCTTTTTTTCCTTAAGCATTATATTTATTACTTTCTATTTCATTTATTTCTATATTTAAAAATATTTGTAGCGTTATTTCAGCTCTCCTTAATCAATATTTCTCTCTCTCTCTCTTAGTAATTTTCTTTGGAATTTTACCGCGGTGTGTGTGTGGGTGTGGAATGGTGTGTGCGTTTTACTGTAATAGGGCTCATACACCATGACGTGCTGGTTTTTTTCATAAAATTATGCGTTTTGGTATGTGCGTTTCGTGATACAGGCATGTACATTATGATTTGTGTTTTACTAGTTTCGGGCGTGTGCGAAACGTAGATATAGTATTGGGCTTGTTGTTGTTGTTGTTGTTGTTGTTGTTGTCGTTGTTTTTTTTTTTTTTTTTTTTTTTTTTTTTTAATTGTGGGATCGGAAATTTTACGATGGTGTGTGCGCGGGTGTGGAATGGCGTGTGCGGTTTTATGTAACAGGAGGTGTACACCATGGCAAACTATAAAACGCACACACGATTCCACACCCACGCACACACCACCGTAAAATTTTTCATAATTTGAAATTTCAGATGTACAAAATATAATTAATTATTATCATTGATAGGGTCCCTAATAATTTAAAATATCAATTTTCATTCATAATCTCCCTAGTATAATGCTTTAAGATTTCAATTGAATTATATCCATAATTAAACATATATCTACAATTACTATTTAATCCTTTTATTTAAATATATCTTTAATTACTTTCACAATCTCTTATAACCTCAACCATTTATGGAAAATGAATCAATGAATATCATGAGATCTCATGATCTCATCTAGTATAGGGGTTGCACCAGATTCGAAGCCTATATATATATATATATATATATATATATATATATATATATATATATATATATATATATATATATATATATATATATATATATATATATATATAACCTCACAGTCAAATCTATACTATAATTAAAAACAAAATCATATTTACTTGATTTCCTGCCCAAACAATAATAAATAGTAAGGTAGATTAAAAAAAGAATGAAAAAAGGAACATATATATTGCACAAAAATATTCTACATCATCAATTAAAAATGGAATGAAAAAGAGGTAAATTGAAAAAAGAAATAAATATTAATAATTCATTGAAAATTAAAAATGAAAAAAAAAAACGAATTAAAGTTAGGTTAATTGGAAAAGGAAATGAATATTAATAATTGACTAAAAATAAAAATAATCCATAATAGAATAAAATGGAAAAGGTAATAATGGTCATATCATTGCATTTTAATTTTTTACAATAATATTATACAGTATAATACATCAAATCACAGTTATGTCATAAATCTTTCACAATTTTAAACAATGAAATGGAAATTAAAAATGGAACGAAAATACTTTAATAATAATATTCTACATCATCAAGTAAAAGTAAAATTAAAAATGAAAAGAAAATATTTTAATAATAATATTCTACATCATCAATAGTAAAGACATATTTTAAACAATAGTAAAGGTAAATTAAAAATACAACGAAAATTAAAAATGAAACGGAAATATTTCAATAATAATATTCTAATCATCAATTAAAAATGGAACGAAAATTGGGTAAAAATATCATTGCATATGATATTCTAATTAACTGAAAATAAAAAAGAATTAATTGGCTGAAAATGAATATGACATTACAAATTGACTGAAAATATAAAAATAAATGAATACTAATAGTTGACTGCAAATAAAAAATGATCCATAATTGATTAATATGAAAAATATAAATGGTTAGATCATTGCATTTTAATTAAAAATGGAACGGAAATTAAAATTTGACGGAAATATTTCAATAATAATTCTACACCATAAATAGTAAATGCATATTTTAAACAATATTAAAGATAAATTAAAAATGGAAAAAAAATATTTCTATAATAATATTATATATCATCAATATTAAAGATAAATAAAAAATAGAACGGAAATATTTCAATAATATATTATACATCATCAATTAAAAATAGAACGAAAATTAGGTAAAAATATCACTGCATATTATTATATTCTAATTGACTAAAAATATAAAAGAATAATTTGCTGAAAATGAATTTGATATTACTAATTGACTTAAAATATAAAAGGATCGCTAATTGACTAATACTCTACCATTATATATTTTTCACCCGAGTCACCTATCCTAATGGACTGATGGTGTTAGCTCTATACGATGATAGACAGGATTGCGTTGCAACTATCAATGTCGTCTACAAAGAGGTTTCAATAATGTGTAAATACAATAATCGTTGATATTATGTTTTTTTAAATGACAAAATGTTATATATCTAGACAAATATATATATATATATATATATATATATATATATATATATTAGAAGAGGGGTCATCCCAAATGCAAGCCTGGTGATGTATAGCAATGTTCTTTTCTGGGTTGGGACGCTCATTCTGTCATCCTGAAGTACATGGATAACCTTGTTCGGGAGTGCATGAAGAGGCCTCCAATTATCCATTTGTTGAGCAATAATACTTGTAAGTTTGTCCACTAAACGATTTTGTTCCTTGAACACATTTCTAATCTCGACATCTCACTCCTTCTCAAACTAACGCTCCTACATCTCTCGATGATATTTTGAAGAGGGGCCTTAGGGTAGGTTCCCTGGATCCATCTTAATCTTTATATCCTTTACTTGTAACATTTACAATTAACTTATATTTTAATTATCAAAAGGAGATGAGCGTCTAAACAAATTATTGAAAACAAACACATTTATCAAATATGATATGATTATTAGGATTAGTATTAGAATTTGTTGTATTTGAGTCACATTATGACTCCATATTCTAGACTTCTTATGATTCTCTCTTGTATATATTCCCTCAAACTGTACATTTGTAATTACTATTCATTTAATATAGTTTATCCAGTTCTCATATAGTATTACTAGTCTCAGGTTCCTTTCCTATTTTCTCTCAATGGAACCTCAGGGCAGTAATGTGTTGACGGATATGCTAACTCCTCTGAGCGGACCGTTTCTAATGCTGCTGTTACTTACTCCTATTCTTTTGGCTGTCAATTCGCTTTCTACTGCCCATCACTTTATCTGTATTAAGCTTATGCACAAAAATTTCTTGTTTTGGAGGACACACGTAGTTCCCTTTTTAGAGGGGCACAGGCTCATGGGGTTTATTGATAGGACTAACCCATGCACGTCGGCCTTCCTGTCAGTTGTTGCCGACAGCGAACCACAACCAAACCTGGCACATGTCGTGTGGTATCGTCACGACAAAGTATTGATGTCAATGCTGATTTCATCACTCTTCGAAGAAGTTATGCACCTCGCCGTTAGTCATCGTACATTACGAGAGGTTTGGTTGTCCATAGAGTAGTCTCTAGCTTCTTCGTCTCGTGCCCGGTCACTTAATATCCTCGGCCAACTTCAGTCTCTCAGGCAGGGTCACTCCTCTACTGCTAATTATATTGGTCATACACGTGTTGTTACGGAAGACCTAGCCCTGGCCGGTTGACCAGTTGGTTCGGACGAGATGAACTTGTATGTGTTTCGTGGGT